TGGTAGTGATGGTGGTAGGTGGTGGCGATGTTGGTAGTTGGTGGCAGTGTTGTGGTGATGGTGATAGGTGGTGACGATGGTGGTAGTGGTGGTTGTAGTGATGATGATGGTGTTGGGGTGGTGGGCAGCAACCATAGGGAGAGAACTAGCAACAGGGAGACCGGCTTGTAATGGTAGGAAAACAACAGGAGGGAGGGACAGATGACAGTAAGAGTGGGTGAGGTCAGCAACAGAAGGGAGAACGAAAGTATGATGGGTCACCAACAGTAAGGGAAGCTTGTAACGGTAAGTAGGCAACGGGAGGGAGGCCAGCAACAGTAAGAAGGACATGAACAGTAGAGAGGTGAACAGTAGGGACGTTATCAACAGTAGTGGGAGGAAGGAAGGTCTGTTATCTCACGTGTCAGGATATGTTATCGAGGGATGTTTCCACACCTCTTGTACTCCTTAACTTCCTTTCTTTCCTTCCCCTCCCTCCCTCCCTCCCTCCCTTACTCTCTCCACTCCTTGTCTGCCTTCCTCCCTCCCTCCCTCCACTCCTTGCCTTCTTCCCTCTTTCCTTCACCTCTTCCTCCCTTCCCTCCTATTCTCCTCCATCCACCCATCCTTCCCCTTCCCTTCTCTTTCCCCCATTCTCTTCCCCACTCCCTTCCTCCACTCCTTAGCTTCCCCCTCCTACTCTCCTTCATCTTCCCCTCCCATTATCTCTTCCTTCATTCTTTCCTTCCTTCCTTCCATCATAGTAACAACTGCAGGACAGGGGAACTACAGATCTCTTACACAGGCAGGTGGTGTGTGTGTTGGAGCCCTCAGGTTAGCCACCGGGACCACAAGGCAGTCCATCCAGGCACTAGACAGATGGAGGAACGTGGTTTTAGATTGTAAGGGAGGCATGAAAATAGAGAAGGTTGTGGGGGGGATTGTAATAGGAGTTGTAGAGGTGGAGAAGAAGGTGGAAGAGGCGAAAGAGGAAACGGAAGAGGAGTAGAAATGGAGAAAGTGTGGGGTTGTAGGAGGAGGTTGTAGAGATGGAAGAGGTGGAGGAGGAAGTGTAGAGTGAAGTAATTTTAAAGGGTGTATGAGCTACTATTCCCTTGCCTCCATTACCTCCGACTCAGCCTCTCTCTCCTCCTCCAAATTCCTCACACCAGCCTACTGCGGCTCAGCGTGATGACTGGCTTGGGATGGCAATGGTTCGACTGGGGATTTCATCTTGTTTGTGAATGATTTATGAGTTTTCTTGTACTCGAGAAACGGCCTCCAGAGCCTGACGTAAGAGAGGTTATGGGGGTAGAATGGGAGGGAGGGGAGTCAGAGGGAGAAATGGGGGGGAGGGGAGAGATGGGTTGGGGTGCTCAGAGAAGGGATAAGATGGGAAAGGGGAATTCCAGAGTTCAATAAGGGAGAAAGGGGGAGTTCCAAAGTTCAGTGCATGGGGGTAAAGAGACAAGGAAGGATGGGGACTTGAAGATAATGGCGCTGTGATCAGTTAGCGGCTCGGGGATGGGTTGCTCAGAGCTCAGATCATTAGCAAATGAAGCTGAGAGAGAGAGAGAGAGAGAGAGAGAGAGAGAGAGAGAGAGAGAGAGAGTCACAGTTGAGGTAGATGGAAGAGACACGTATGAATAGGGTAAAGAACAGCTTAAAACTCATGTAATGGATGGGTTTAGCTGCTCAGATGAGAGGGAAAGGAGCTTCAACTCTCAAGGGGAAAGGAGTGAAGAAGGGGAAGTGAGAAACGATTCAGATCTTACTCGGGAACTAAGAGGGGGAGGGAATGGGAAAATGGAGAGTCACTTTGTATGTATAACTCAGACCAGTGTAGGTAAGGCAGGAAGGAGTTAAACATAGGATATTATTATAGTTTAGTTAATAGAGAATATATGTTTAGTGAAATGGCGTTTGAAAATAGATAGACTTAGTTAAACTTATTTTAAATGATCAAAACATACTATTGATACAACATTATACTAGAACTTTATTGTGATGTTGAAATAAAAAAAATGTAATGGCAAAGTTACTGGGAAGAAGAAGATTACAATAGAACATTTATCTCAATATAAGCAAGACTTAGTGCATTAATAAACAGAATCGTTATTGAAGAACATTCCTCCCTCCAGCGCTTACCTGAGAAGATAACACTGATGACATTTGAAGAAAAGCTTTACAGATATATTTAAAACAAAACATTTTCTTTAACCTGAAGGGAGGAGGAGTTGAGGTAACGATATAACTGAGAAAACGCGGCAGGGAGAGATAAGCCAGACTATGGGTAACTAGTGTAGTGTCGTGTATCTAGTGGAAGGTAAAGAAATACAGAGCTAAACAAACCTTGTGAGTTATGATGCAAATTCGGATACATCACAGGGGGGGGGAGTTAATGTTCAATGCCAAACAACCACGATGTAACGAGTCTCTGGTATTTATTATTTACAGCATATTTATCTGCCTTCACACAATGGTGAGTTGGACAGAAAATCTTGAATTAAAATACAAAAAAAAAATAGATTATCTTTTAGTGTCCTTCAATATAACTGAATTTATAATGCTTCATAGTTGTTGTTTTTTTTATGAGATTTCCTTATTGATGTCTTTAGTAACATCTACATATCGCTGAGTGTTGAGAAATGGTTAACACCGCGAGAAACAAAGGTCTTATCTCTCTACAGTCCGCAATAAAACGCAGCTTAACTAGGCCTTAAAAATTCTTGTGTGTGCGTGTGGCGGTGAAGGTGGAGCGGTAGCAGCCAGGGTGTGGGTGGCTGGGAATAGACGGACTGACAGGAGAGAGTCGGCTAGTAGCTTCAGCAGGGAAAGTAGCAGCATCGGTGGGTAAGTCTTGATAGCGATACAGACGGAGGAATTATAGAGAGGCAGAGAATAGCATTAGTAGCGGGTATATAGATCATGGTCAGGGCTGGTAACCTCAGCAGGTGCAGCAGAAGAGGTTGGTATCTCAGCAGGGACAGCAGAAGGGGCTGATAACCTAGGCAGGGGCAGGAGAAGAGGCTGGTAACCTCAACAGGGGGAGGGGGCTGGTAACATCATCAGAAAATCAGAACCAGCATCAGGACCCGAGGTATAAGGGAGAGGCCGCAGAGCGAGGTTGGAGGGGAGCTTTCCTTATCAACAAGACAGGTCGTTAACGCTATCTGGCCCGTGTATCACCGCTCTCGACCCACCAATCCATTTCAGTTTGTGGTTAAGTGAGAGTCGAGAGCAAACCGAGTGAAGAACATAAAAGAATACCTCCCTCTTCCCTTCTTCTGTGCCACTACCAGGTTATTGTCTCTTCCTTATGGCTTCTCTTCTCCCTACTCCAGTTTTACACCTCCTCTATTTATCGCATCGTATCTTCTCCTACTCTCCTTCCTTTCCATTCTATCTTGGGCCTTTTACTCTGTCTCTGTCTCTCCTATTTTACCTTAATTATTCTCTCCTCCCTCCTATAGCACTGGTCTTCATTAGTTCCCCCATAGCACTGGCCCTCACCCCTTCCCTCCTCCTATAGCACTGGGCCCTCAATCCTTCCCTCCTCCTATAGCACTGGGCCCTCACCTGTCCCTCCGCCTATAGCACTGGGCCCTCACCCTTCCCTCCCATAGCACTGGACCCTCACCTCCTATAGCACTGGGCCCCACCCCTTCCTCCTCCTATAGCACTGGACCTCACCCTCTTATAGCAATGGACCCTACCTCCCTCCTATAGCACTGGGCCCTACCCCTTCCCTCCTATAGCACTGGACCCTCACCTCCCTCCCATAGCACTGGACCCTCCTCCTCCTAGCACCCCTCACCCTATAGCACTGGGCCCTCACCCTTCTCTCCTCCTATAGCACTGGGCCCTCACCCCTCCCCCTCCTATAGCACTGGGCCCTCACTCCTTCACCCTTCCGCCTATAGCACTGGGCCCTCACTCCTCCCCCCCCTCCTATAGCACTGGGCCTCTATTCCTTCCCTCCCTTAAATCGATGACATTATTCAAGATTTCTCCATTTAATGTTAATTGACTATCACCACCAAGACCATCACTTAAGATTTTCCACATGAGTTTCTGTCTGTTTCCAATTTGTTTTCCTTCTCGTTTTTCCTTCCCATGTTCCCTCGGACTCCTTCCTGGTAATGTTAGACCTCTTCCTTTACTTCCTCATCTTTAATAGAACATATTTTTCCTGGCTGGTAAGACAGAGACGGGTGGATTTAACTAAGGCTTTCCACTCCTCCACCTAACCCATCTTAAACCCCCCTACCCAACCCCCTGACCCGTCTTCCACCCCCTGTCCCGTCTTCCACCCCCTGTCCCGTCTTCCACCTCCCCCTCCCCTCCCCTTCAAGAGGATCAACCTCTCTGATGAATATTTAATGGGAGATTACAGAAAGATGTTTTCCATAAGGGGTGGATGATCTCACTTTGTGGCGTCCTATGGGGCACAGACGTCTTGCGAAAGAGATAGTGAGTGTGAGATAGAGAGTGAGAGAGAGGGGGGGAGTGAGTGAGAGAGAGAGACGCGTCCTTTGAGAAAAAATGGCCTGAGGTGGTGACGGGTGTGTTAAGATACGAGGGTGTACTGAAGGCACTGAGAGGGACAGGGGAGAGAGGGAGGAAGTGAGGGAAGTACCTGCAAGTAGGGATGGAGAGGGGCAGGGAGGTGGAGGGGGCGGGAAGATAGTAAACTTCCCGTTGTTCCTTATTCTTGCCACATTTACAGTCTCGAAATATTGATTATAAGATTATGAAGACTGTGTTTACGCTGGTCGTCAGAGACACTAATGCGTCTGTTGGGTGTTAGCGAAAAGATCTCCGGCGTTATTACCAGAGGCATATTAATTTAACGTTCTATTTAAAAAAACAGGTTTACTTTTTACTGTGGAGATAATTGATATGAGATAGCAGTGCAGGTATTAAGTTTACTGATAAATGAGGAAGATTAGATTAATTATTAGATAAGGAGATTGTTTCAGTTGATATTAAGACGTTTATTTTGTTTTGCTTTTTGACAGACGCCCCAACATTCCTCTCCGACCCGCCTGATCTGGTGGACGTAGTTGTCGGGGAGTCTGAGGTACTCAACCTGACGGCACGAGCCAACCCGGGCCCCGTGCAGTACGCGTGGACCCGCCACGGCCTCCCTTTACCTGACCCTGTCATCGACGACTCCTGGAGACACGCCTACGCCCACGGCCCGAAAACGATGGGCGGCACGGGCGGGTCCTATGTGGCAGCGGACGGACCTCTGTTATATATCAGGGGCGTGACGCTAGACGATGCCGGAGACTACGAGCTGGAGGCCAGGAATCAAGAGGGCACTACCATCGCCAAGGTCTACCTCAACGTGCAGTGTAAGTAGTCGCTTGTGTGGAGCAACTTATTACGTAGTTCCCAAGAATTATATTGCCGAGTGTCTTGATTTATTTTATTTTTTATGTTACTGTCAAGTTATAAGTTGTGGTTAGTCATTTATTAGACCTTGAAGCATGAAACTATAAAAATTAATACCAAGTAATAAAGTAAATAACATTTTTCTTCCTTCCTCCTCCTCCTCGCCTAACAGATCCACCCACTATCAAGTACACGTCGGAGGTGAGGACAGTGTCGGAGGGCCAGGACGCGAGCCTGGAATGCGCTGCCGACGGGAACCCCCTGACGGAGGACATGATGCAGTGGACGAGGGAAGACTACGACTTTACACGCACTGAGCAAACCTTCGGGTGAGTACTGGGGCGACTTAATGAATTCCTGAAGGTGGGGGTGGGAAGATAGAGAAACACGATAACAATAGAAACAGAGGAAGAGAAAATAAATAAGAAAAATGAAAGGTAGAGAACTATGACGAGCTTAAACGAGGGATCCATTAGGTGAATACTGAGAGCGGGGACACGAAAACACTATTATAAAGGGGAAGGATAAAGAAAACCGATAGAAATGGAAACCTAGGAAGGGGTATCGGAGAAAAAGATGAGGGCAGGAGGAGAAGGGAAAGGAAAGAGGAGACACGACCATATTGCGGACAGAAAAGTAAGAGAAGAGAGGAGTGTTGGAGGATAATTGTTGAAGAGGATTGGAGAAGGAGGGTGGAATAGACAGGAGAGAAAGATGGAGAGGAATTAATGGCAAAAGGGAGGTTATGAACATAGGAGAGAGAGAAAGAGAGAGAGAGAGAGAGGGGTCAGGATCGGTTGAAGGCAGCAACAACAGTAGCAGTAGTAGTGATAGGTGTGTGGGGGGAGAAGGAAGGTAGGCAGGCAGGCAGTAGGGGCACCGCAATTCTCAGTATATAACTCATTTTTAGAGGGTAGTGACAGGGTGGTGGCAGAGGGGTGGCAGGGTGGTGGCAGGGGAGCTACTATTGTGTGGAAAGCTGCGGGCTGTGGGATCTAGAATTTTGAATAGTTTCCAACGTGGGAAACTTTTTGTTCGAACTCACTTGTTGGCCCTTTACGAGTCAGGGGGTTAGTGGGTGAGGGTGACAGAGGGTGGGTGAGGGTGACAGAGGGTGGGTGAGGGTGGGTGGGGGTGATATTTTTAAATTATATGTCTTAATTTTGTTTTTTTTCATGTCGACAAAATAATGAACATCTCTAATGATATAAATGGGAGATATGATAGAGAATGCCATCTATGTGATAATCAAATGAACATAATAATGATGATGATAATAATAAAGACAACCTAATGACAACATAAGGCTCACAAACAAAACAATTCTGTCAGCGTTACCCAAATATAGACTCTTAATAGGATTCTTCAGACTCCTTGTCCAACATCTACAAACTCATCACCTCTTGTACCAACTCTTGAACACCTCTTATGCATCTCATTACTTTACTAAAGAAGATTTAGGTAATTAGTCATCCTGAATCTCCATATACTTTATTACCCTCGTGACACACACACACACACACACACACACACACACACACACACACACACACACACACACACACACACACACACACACACACGTACACGTCTATTAACCTCCTCCTCTTGGCCTACAGAGGGAAGAAAGCCGCACTCAAGGTGCTACGAGCCAACAGAAACGACACGGGCGTCTTCTCTTGCGTGGTCAACAACGGCATCGGGAAGGTCGCCTTGGCCAACGTCACCCTGGTGGTCAAGACGAAGCCCCAGGTGGAACACTCACAGGTGGGTGGCCCAGGTGGAGAAAATATTAACGGCAGCTGGTTATTGGGTACAACGAACAAGTCTCATGCTGTGTGACAGATTAAGAGGCTGGCACAGGCTGTCACACCGATTGGTTTTAGGTTGGGGAGGGAGGGGAGGGTGTGGGAGGGGGGGGTTGAGGAGGGAGGAGAGGGTTGGGGTGGGAGGAGAGGTGTGGGAGGGGGTTGAGGAGGGAGGAGAGGGTTGAGGAGGAGGAGAGGGTTGGGGTGGGAGGAGAGTGTGTGGGAGGGGTTGGCCCATTTGCCGGGTGAAGAATGAGAAGCAGCACTCGATTGTCACAGCACTTAGTTAAAGGACAATAACAGGAAGAGCTATAGAGCAACAGCAGGGGATTATAGGAGACCAGCAGGGGATTATAGGAGACCAGCAGAGTTATATCGGAGACCAGCAGAGCTATATAGGAGACCAGCAGGGGATTATAGGAGACCAGCAGAGTTATAGAGCAACAGCAGGTGAATATAGAAGACCAGCAGAGTTATAGAGCATATACAGCTACTTACAGGAATACAGCAGTTAGTTATTGAGGAAAAGCAGGTGGTTACACAGGAATACGTAGAGGGTTATAAAACAGCAGATAATTATTTAGAAACATCAATGGATTATAGAAAAATAAACAATTATGAGAAAGCAACAGCAGGAGGCAGGAGAACAACATCTCACTGTGAAACAACAGCAGCTCGGCCGACAGAACAGCAGCTGCATATAAGAGAAGTTGATTTTAGGAGAAGGACAGCTGTTGAGGGAGAAACAGCTGTTAGTTATGGAGCAGTGAGTTTTAAGACCACGCCGCCTGGGTGTAAAATCACAGCAACCAGCTACAGGACAGCAGCTGAATACAAGAAAATTACAGCTTTTTGTAGGAGAAACGTCGGTAGTTATTGATTAACAGAATACAGTAGCATTTATCTGTAACAGGAAAAAGAGAATTGACTTTAAGAAAATAAACAGCTGGTTAGGTCAGAGTAGGGTAGGTCATGTCAGGTCAATAGGTGGTTACAGCGACTAAGAGAGAGAGAGAGACCAATGATCACCTGGTTACAGAAAGGTAAATACATAGTGAATTCACCTGAGAATATCACCAAGAGGAAATTTACCTTTCTTTTAACATATTTCAGCTGTAATTAACACTGTAACGATACAGTAAAATTATACTTAGATTATACTCAAATTATAGGGATATTATACAGTAGTTAGATTATACTAGTCGCGTTTTAAATTGAGTAATACATTATTTATATTCTAAAGCGTAATAGTGATTTTCCAAACAACAACAACAGTTTCTCTGTATGTTACTAATTTTAACAATAGGGCTCATCATTATTACAGTATTATGTATGTTCTTATGTAATACTGTATTTGATGTTCTCCTATAAGCTCTTAATGTTAATGGTAGCCACAGTGTTTTAAAATATTCTCATTTAGACGTTTATAAATCATTCTCTTTATCCATCTGTCTGTCTGTCTGTCTGTCTGTGTGTTGTGTGTATGCGTCTGTCTGTCTGTGTGTGTGTCGGTTGTGTGTATGCGTCTGTCTGTCTGTGTGCGTGTGTTGTGTGTATGCGTCTGTCTGTGTGTTGTGTGTATGCGTCTGTTTGTCTGTCTGTTTGTCTGTTGTGTGTATGCATCTGTCTGTCTGTCTGTCTGTCTGTCTGTGTATTGTGTGTATTTATCTGTTCGTCTGTCTGTCTCTCTGTCTGTCTGTTGTGAGTATACGTCTTTCTGTCTGTCTGTTGTGAGTATACGTCTGTCTCTCTGTGTGTTGTATGTATGCGTCTGTCTGTCTCTTTGTGTGTTGTATTTATGCGTCTGTCTGTCTCTGTATGTTGTGTGTATGCGTCTGTCTGTCTCTCTGTGTGTTGTATGCATGCGTCTGTCTGTCTGTCTGTCTGTCTCTGTTGTTGTGTGTATGCGTCTGTCTGCCTGTCTCTCTGCGTGTTGTATTTATGCGTCTGTCTGTCTCTGTATGTTGTGTGTATGCGTCTGTCTGTCTCTCTGTATGTTGTATGTATGCGTCTGCCTGTCTCTCTGCGTGTTGTATTTATGCGTCTCTCTGTCTCTCTGTATGTTTTGTGTATGCGTCTGTCTCTCTGTATGTTGTGTGTATGCGTCTGTCTGTCTGTGTGTGTTGTGTGTATGCGTCTGTCTGTCTGTGTGTGTTGTGTGTATGCGTCTGTCTGTCTAATAACTCACCTTCAACTCTTACCACTTCACAAGGCCCCTGCAGCCTTTTCTTGTTCTGCATCGATCGAAATTCACCCTCCAGGCTGACCACCTCCTCCTCCTCCACACACTCCCTCGCCTTTCTTGTGCCTCCCTCACATTTATTCCCATATTTGTCTTGTCTTCAGTCCCATTCTCCCTCCATCCATACCTTCCTCCCGTTCCTTTTGTCTCTCCTTTATCTTTCATTTTTTTCCTTATCCACAGGATCACTAAAGTCCTTCATTCTTCGCTTTCAGTCTCTCATTCATCTCAGAATTTAGCCCCGGGGATATTAATCATCTTTTTCTTCCTTCCAATACTGTGTTTAACTTGTGCCTTGCCTTACAGCTGCTGAACCGTGCGGCGGCGGAGCTAGGGAGGACAGGTCGCTTGCGGTGCTTGGCGGAGGGGGCGCCGGAGGTGAGCTTTTCCTGGAAGAGGGAAGGACTTCTTCTCTCTAACGGCGTCAGACCAGACAAGTACGGAAACGAGACCTCAAAGGTGAGCTGACACACTCCATTCCTTCCTGTTTTAGCCATCGGCGTTGTTATAGGTGGAATACAACGTTTATCACCTTAAATAAAAGTAAAAACAGATTATTTTTCACCTCATCGTCACCATCTGTATTGTGGTAACTTAAGGAAGGTCACGAGAGGAAGCTGATCCACATAAACATTACTCTTATGTTTCATTAAATTCAGTTTAAAACAGAAATCTTGTCTCGCTTACATTATTCATCCCTGCACACACACACACACACACACACACACACACACACACACACACACACACACACACACACACACACACACACACACGCTTCCCGCATGACGCCCAACTCACCTGTATATAATATACAGGTATATACTTATAAATGGGATCCGTTTTAATATAAGGAAGTTTTCATTTTATAGTATTTTTCAGCTGTAACATTTTATATGTCGTAAATTTTATTTCACCAACTGCCAGTAATCCCTCTGGTTTATTCAGTTAATTATAATTTTTATCACCGTTCCTGTTGTTGTTGACTAACACAATAATTAACTCGGCCCATCACTACGTTTTTACCATGACCTCTCAATCATGTAGTAATTAAGATAGTACATTAGTTTTATATATATATATATATATATATATATATATATATATATATATATATATATATATATATAAAGTTACGAAGTCGGACTAACACACAACACGCCTCTGTTTACCTCATTAAAGTGTTTAACGTTTTGAATAATAAACAGAATATAGCTTAATTAGCTTCTATTTACACAGTGATACACAAGTTTAGAAGCTTTTGAACATTTTTCTTCAGAATCTTGATATTTGAGAATTTGATGAGGAAGAGGATATGAAAGTGGGCCCAGAGAGAGAGAGAGAGAGAGAGAGAGAGAGAGAGAGAGAGAGAGAGAGAGAGAGAGAGAGAGATACTCGCTCCTTTCATAGTCTTCAGGAAGCTTCTCTCCCCCCCTTGGAAATTTAATTAACTTCAGATGAAAACAATTCAGATCGTGAACACTCAACTCAAATACGTAGATTTTCTGATTAAACTGGAAAGGCTGAGAGAAGGAGAAAGGGAAGACAGACAGACAGACAGACAGAAGAATAGACAGAGAAGGACAGATAAATAAATACAGAAAAATAATGATTCATAGGTAGAGATAGATGTTAACAGATCCAGGCGTAAACCAAGATACTGACAGACAGACTTATAGCTACAGACAGACAGATACATGCATAGAAAGACAGAGAAGGAGATGTAGAGATACAGAGATAAAGAAGAAGAGAAAAAACAGACAAGCAAATATAAAGAGAGAGAATAAGACAAAGAGAAGAACTGAGATAAAATTTAATAAGATGTAAACTTAATGAAAAGAAAAGAACAGATATTAAGAGAACAGACAGACAGACACCACCTCCACCACCACTACCACAACACACCACTACCACACACACATCCACCACCACACACACATCCACTACCACACACACATCCACTACCACACACACATTCACCACCACCACAACCCCTTCACACCACCACACCACCTCTACCATAACACACCACCACCGCAACACACCACCACAACACACCACCACAACACACCACCACAATACACCACCACAACACACCACCACAATACACCACCATAAAACACCACCATTACCACCACAACACTATGGCCCACCCAAAACACACTCCACTACAATGCTTCCCTCTCGATCCCTACCTAACCTAACCTAACCTAACCTAACCTAACCTAACCTAACCTAACCTAACCTAACCTAACCTAACCTAACTTAATCCAGGTGAACTCTTATTATATATCTATGGATTCGTTTCCTACGTCAGAGGGTCGGGTTCGGGGTTCGGGTTTTGGTTATTCAGTCCTGGGTTAATTTTAGATCTGGCCTTGACTCTGGTGCTGCCTTGACCATACCTCCTTAGCCTCGGGCGAGAAGCAACTTTGTGTAACCTTTCTTTATCTTCACTTTCTAATTTTATCCTCCATGCAGCACAGCTTTACGAATGGTTTCACTTTTAAGGAAAAACATCAGTTTATTGTACTGATTTAGAAGTTGTTGATAGTAGACATTGAAGATATATAGAACGATGAATGGTGAAGCTATTAACATTTATGACTTGGTGAACGGTTCTATTAACTCCGGCAGTTGAAGTTACAAAACGATCCCTCTCGTCACTACAAATACAGCAACAGTAAAACCGACTGTAACCGACTGAATCGTTCTTGAGTTATTAACCCTTCTCCCCCCTCAATAAAACCTGACCCAACCAACCAAAGAAACTTACCTAATCTTACCTCACGTCTTAGCCGGGAGCCACATTAAACTGAAAGTACTTATTATGATATCTGGTACCAAGGAGATTAACTTTGTTGACGCATCATTGTGTATTCTTTTGTTTTTTGTGGACACGACATTAAGCGTGGGTCGAGTGGGTTAGTTGTAAGCAAACAGACGAAACCCGGTGACCAGATGTACTGTACATGAATTTACCACCTCTGTTATTATCCATTTACGACGGAAGTGGTGTTTGAAAAGGTTGTTGCACTTGACGAGATATAACTTCTGGTGAACCCAAAATTGCTCTAACCCAAATATAGATGTAGAGTTATTCACTAAATACAGTGACTATAACCAGACCCGGCAACTTTACCTTACTAACTGAAATAATAGGATTGTTAAAATTATCATGTAAGGTGAGTGAGTTAAGGAATGTATAAATAGGCTTGTAACTGAGGGAATCTTAGCTTGTACCTCTAAACAATACGCTGTTTGCGATAAACATACTCCTTTATCAACGAATACGTCAATAAAACCGTAACTCTGCACGTACTTTTACACACACATCACAATCATCATCAGTCATCATTACAATCGTCATCAATCATCATTAGTTCCATCAATCATCATTGCCATCATCATCAATAATAATCATTACCACCATAATCAATCATCATCATCATCATCATCATCATTATCGTCATCAATCATCATCATCATCATCATTATCGTCATCAATCATCATCATCATCATTAACCATTACCATCATTATCATTACCATCATCATCAATCATCAATAATCATTACCACCATCATCAATCATCATCATTATCGTCATCAATCATCATTACCATCATCATCAAATCCAATAAATAAACTCATCTTTTGCAGGCAGAATAAGTGTCGCTGCTCTGAATACACTTACACCAAAGCTGAAACTGTCCACACAATTGACGGTTCTATATTAATTGATAAAAAAATAATATAATTAATTATGTGGAATTTTAATTTCCTTTTCACCTTTCCTCATTAATATTCCAAATGAAAATCTATATCCGAATGTGGAAATTAATTGCTTGCATCTAGCGTTAATAATGCAATTATGTAATCCTTCACTATTCACAATTTACATTAAAATTATACATTATTACCCTACACAAATAAAGCCTTTTAACTTAAATCTAAAAATATATATTTTTTTTAATTGTTTAAAAAGTTGAACCTATTATGTATGTATGTATTTTTTTGGCATAATTTATCAGATCCCCAAATAATCACATTTACGTCAATTATTTTTCAATATCGTCATAAGAATTATCCCAATATTTGTAACCTAAAATTATTCAAAACTAATATCTGGTCTTTTGTCACCATTATCTTTATCCCATCATGGTATGAACCATTATCGTCACCAGCACAGTAAACCCATCACACCCTCACCTTCACAATGTCATCACCATCACATTGCCATCACCATCACACCCTCACCATCACAATACCATCACCATCACAGTGCCATCACCATCACACCCTCACCATCACAATGCCATCACCATCACAATGTCATCACCATCACAATGCCATCACCATCACATCACCATCACCATCACAATGTCATCACATCATCACCGCCATCACCATCACATCACCCATCACCATCACACCCTCACCATCACAATGTCATCACCATCACAATGTCATCACCATCACAATGCCATCACCCCTCACCATCACAATGTCATCACCATCACAATGCCATCACCATCACACCTCACCATCACCATCACAGTGCCATCACCATCACACCCTCACCATCACAATGCCATCACCATCACAATGTCATCACCATCACAATGCCATCACCATCACACCCTCACCATCACAATGTCATCACCATCACAATGCCATCACCATCACACCCTCACCATCACAATGTCATCACCATCACACCCTCACCATCACAATACCATCACCATCACAATGTCATTCATCACACCCTCACCATCACACCACCATCACCAACACAGCACGCTGTCACCATCACAATGCCATCACCATCACATGTGTCATCACGATCACAATGCCATCACTATCACAATGCCATCACCATCACATTGCCTTCATCATCACAATGTCATCACACCCTCACCATCACACCCCCACCACCACCACACCGCACCACCACCTTCCCACCACCACACACCGCACCACCACAATCTGCACCACCACCTTCACACCACCATCACACCCACATCACCCCCACCACCATCACCATCACACCCCACCACCACACCGCACCACCACATTCACACCACCATCACACCATCACACCACCACCCCACCACCATCACACCCCCACCACCATCACCATCACACCCCCACTACCGACACTCCTCAGTATAGGCTTCAACTGTGTTAAGGTCTAAAATTAGTGTTAAACTGGGAGGGGGTCTACAGCCAGTCGTCTTCCCCAGGTACCTTCCAGCCTTCAGCTTACCATTAACCTGCTTATCCACCCACCATCACGCCCATGAGACAAGATTCATGGAAGATTATATAACCCATGTATGGTTAATCAATGGGTGCGGCGGCCGAGTGGACACAGCGCTCCTTTCCTGTCCTAAGTGTCTCTGGTTTGTACCCAGGGCATCCACTGTCCCACCTACCTGTGAAAGGATTCTTAACTTTACAGCAATACCGAACATACTACTTTTTTGTGCACATAGTTTACAGTACGCTATATCCACACTGCCTTCCATAGCCCGTCACGATTATGGGACTCGCTTTCACTTTTATGGATAACAGAAAACTTAGTACAATTTTTTTTAACCTTTCCCATGAACCTGGATTTTGGGGGAACACGACTGGTATTCTTCGTTGCGACATCTTTTAACACAGTAGTATACAAGATATTTCCTCGCCTCACCATCGTCTTCCACACACTGTACATACAATAGTCACATTTTTTCTGCCATAGTCTGCCTCATATACACCTTTTCTGACTTAACTCGTGAGATAAAAAAAAATAACCTTGTTTTTTTCAGAGATTTGTTTTTACTCACCATTAATAGGTAACAATATACTGAATAACTACTGTACTACCTAATTAATACAAGACCGAGTGATTGATTATCTCCTCCTTATTCTCTTACCATCATCATCATTATCCCTCTCTCTCTCTCTCCCCCTTCAACAGACGGGCCTCGTGTCATGGGCTTCCACTTTCTTTATCAAGAACGTGAACGAGCTTGACTACGGCAACTACGAGTGTGTGGCCGAGAATGAGCTGGGAGCGTCGACCATCAGCGTTCACTTCACCCCGCCTACACGCCCCGACCCGCCTCTCGCACTCAAGGTAACCTCTCTCTCTCTCTCTCTCTCTCTCTTTCTCTCTCTCTTAATTAAATGATTTAATTTAATAAAAAATATGGAATTGATTTTAGGAATTTGTTCAGTATAAAACAATAACTAGATATTTAGATATATAAATTTATTTTTGGTTCTAAAAGTTACAATACTCTTGCTCACTGTATATTATTATTATTATTATTATTATTATTATTATTATTATTATTATTATTATTATTATTATTATTACACAACAATAACTCTTTTTTTAACAATGGAACAGCTTTCTTATTATTATTATCACAACATTATCATCATTAGAGTCATAATTACAAATATCATTCTTAACATTATTAATAAACATAGAGTCATTCAATTAGGTAGAGTGAAAGGGTTGACAGCAGGTGTTTCGAGTGTTGTGGGCTGAACACACACCTTTAATTGTCGACCAGCCTCCATCTGTTATCATCCTCTCACCTCATTTACTCCAGTTCCCTCTAATTGCACTTCTTCCTCCTCCTCTTGTCCTCTTTCTATCCTATGTACTATTTATCTTTATCTCTTTTTATATATCATCATCATCATCATGTTTCTCTCGTTTTATCATCTTTCTTCTGTTGTATCATTATCTTGTTTCTGCCTTTTTCTTATTATTTTTCCCAGGTTTTCCTTTTTCATCATTGTTCCTTTTGTTGTTCTTTGTCTTTCTCACATCAACGTATTTATGACACTTGTTTCTTTCCCTTCACTGATAAACATAAGCTAAGATAATAATGATAATGTCATCTAACGTTAAAAAGTCTATCAAGAATATCACAGGAGAGTGACTATTGCCCCTCCTACTCACTATCAACTATTGGCTCTCCACGTAGCAACATTCACCTAACATATCCTCAATTAACTCCCCCTAGTTGTGCATCCAGCTCTCCCCTCAGCCGCTCCCCGTAAATATAGGTCCATTAGCTTTACTCTCGCCTTCACCCACACCCTTCACCCTCATATAGTCGAGGAGCTACTTTCCATTAAACCCCTTTTCTGGCAGCCTCCGACCCTCCTCTTATATCAACAAATCATCAAGTGACTACCCAAGTGCCACACAACTACTCACACGCCGCTGTCCCTTTCATCTACCCATCCACAAACACGCTGTTATGGAGCCCCCTCTCTTGCTCTTTGGGATATCTTAATGACGCCGTCGCCACTGTCTCCTTCAGTCATTATTTTCTGAGTGTCTCATCGTCAGCTTTCCTCCCTCTGTGGCTTTAGCAGGTGTCCAATATGGCGTCTTTCATTAGGAACTTAGATGTAATATTGTTGTCGTGTTTTCTTTTGTGTCTCCTACAGGTTGAGTTAGTTGTTTCTTTCAAGGTATTCCTAACAAGTTACTTCTCTTTGTCCTTCTTCAGGTTTTCATATTAGGGCCTATCTCAATTAATGGCTCTTTCACTTTAAATTCTAATGCAGAAATTTCACCTATCTCTTCCTTCTGCGTCTCCTTCAGGTGTTAAATACGACCCACGACTCTGCAACCCTCGCCTGGATTCCGGGTTTCGACGGCGGCAAACCTCAGTACTTCCGACTCCGGTACCGGAGCAAGTCCTCCAGCTCGTACCAATACCTCGACGTGTACGAGTTCGGAGTGTACACGTACACCGTGACGGGGCTCAGCCTGGGCACTGAGTACTACTTCTCCATCATGAGCTACAACGACGTGGGCGAGAGCGAGTACCGCGGGGAGTTCGTCCGGGCCACCACCCGCAGTAAGTACAGTACCCTAATTGGGCTGTCTTGTACCGCGTTTTATTGCCCCTATATTACCGTGAACCGACCCTGAGCCGGCCAGTGTGTTGATACACCATCGCCAAACCTTAGGTAACACATTTTACACAGAGTTCTCCAGCACACACAGATTCCATTATCTCTTAAGAATAACGAGACACAAGCTGCAGTCATTCTCTGATACCACATAACATTCTCCCGCTCTCAGCCAAACACAACCACGCACATATTTCGATTCAGGTAAACTTAATTATCTTCTGCCACATTAATAATTCATAAGCACTGCATATCCCATTAAATGGAATCTAATTCCCCTGTCGCCTTTCATTACATTGTTCGCGTCACACACCTACACGAGATCCTGTTTCCCCCCAGTTAGGTTAACGAGCAACTTGAACATAACATTATTTTCATTAGTTTATCCTAACCGGAGACTTTATGCCTTGAATGTGATTAGTTTCCAAGGTTACAGTTACCCACAAAATTAGTAAAAATTAAGGAAAGTTCAACATTTACACAAACATTTACCTATAATTAATTTAACTCCAGCTACACATTTTGCCTCATAAACCTAATACTTATTTTGTTATATTTTTCACTTTATCAATTAATTATAAACAACTCAGAATTTAGGATGTACTTTTTAATGTATCAATCCTTTATATTATATTATTTGCCTCCGGATAAATTATGTGTTTGTTTATCCGGCTTCAGCGCCAAGTAAGTACGCATGAGTGGTTGTTGTTGTTCACGGGGGCAGCAGGGGGGCGTCGCTCCCAACTTAAATTAAGAGAAACTTCAAGCACACTATGTGGTGGAAGCTCAGCGGATGACAGTTTTATCCTACTATTACCATAAGGTTTACATTATCATATATCATATACTTGAGAGTCGACTATATATTGAGAGTTGGAAGGCACTGTCATCCTACGAGTTGGGGGATATAACATAAATAAGCATGTAGAGGATTAAGGAAGAAAGTAAAGTAGATTATCCAAGGTCAAATTTCTTTTGTATATCAGAATTAACAGAGAACTATTGGCCAATGGTTAATACGTCACGACACTGTGGTAGCCAGTGGGAAGTATTACATCATACCAGCAGCCAATGAGGAGTGTTCATGGTCACTCGTAAACGGTGGTGATTGTGACGTCACTAGATGGCTTAGTGAAGTGTGACGTCACAGCCTGGTCAGTAGCACCGGGGCCTCGGGTACTCTGATACACAACAGGAATTTGACCTTCTGTTTCTTGAATGATTCAGAGTCAACCTGACATTTAACAACAGTAATACCAGGATAGGTTATGGGTGCACCAGGCTCAGTAGTTATGTATCATATATGTATTTACGTATAAATGTATACATGTATAGAATGTATATATTTTTTTCATATAAATACATATAAACAAAGTCGCATAATAACTCTAGTAAAAAAAAATATTAATGCATATCCCGTGTTTATGGTCTGGTCAGCTTCACACGGCTGAATCCCTCGCTAGTCTCCAGCAGGTGGGATAAAGCCTTACAGGAGATCAACTCACAATATTTTGACTTCCACTAAAAACTCCATCAATATTTATCATACAGTCCAGATATATATATATACGTGGATATGCATTAACTATTCCTATACAGTATATATAAGTACAGTATCTATATTGTTATGAGCATGAGGGGGTGAAGGTTTATATAGGCCATAACAAGAAGCACGGGATTAATATATACTGACACAGCACCTCTGACTTCCTTTACTAACAATACTAACATAAGGGATTTAGACCTTGCACTGGAAATCGAAGTTTATTGACACGAACAATTTATCATTCTGGCGTGAGTGACCTAATAGGCTGTGGGGACCTGATCTGGCTTTTATCTCCTAATAATACGTATTTTAAGAGACGCTTTTTAACATGTAAATAGGGCAAGGTTGTAGTAGATAAACAGAGAAAAAAAAAAGAGTACTTTGGTTTTGAACTAGTCGTAAGGCTTTTAAATTAAGCTAATTTTAGCATAAATATTTTGTCCATTATTTGTAAGTTATAAGGATTGATGAAATGTTGTCTTATAAACTCATATGATAGTAGGCATTAGGTGTGCTAAAAATAGTCCAAAATTATCTCAGTAGACAAATGCACATCATAATTAGTAATAACTAGCATTAAGGGTTCAAAATAGGTTTAATGAACTGAATAATCTGTGTGAACGTGACTATGGTAGTGACTGACAATGGGAACGATGGAACAAAGATGCGATAACAACCTTTGAACGTAAAAAAAAATTACGGTATAAAACATTGATAATGCCGTTTCTCTGTCCTTGAGTTATGGGGCGGCGTCTTGTGGCCAGCGGTGTAAGGAAGGTGATCTCACATCCGGGTTATGTTTCTCGTGGTCACTGGTGAAGGGAAACGCTCTCAAGTGGCATTACAGCTTAAATCACCGTCCTAAAGGGTTATAGCTTCAACCATCGTCCTTAAATGGTTATATAATTATAGTGATTGGGTGATTATACGTCCCCTGGGTGAGTGTAGGTCCCCCTGGGTGAATTTATAGGTCCCCGGGGTGAATATAGGCCCCCCGGGGTGAGTAAAGGTCCCCCTGGGTGAGTATAGGTCCCCCTTGGTGAGTACAGGTCCCCCTGGGTGATTATAGATCCCCTGGGTGAGTATAGGTCCCCCTGGGTGAGTATAGGTCCCCCTGGGTGAGTATAGGTCCCCCTGGGTGAGTATAGGTCCCCCTGGGTGAGTATAGGTCCCCCTGGGTGATTATAGATCCCCCTGGGTGAATGTAGGTTCGCGGGTTGAGTGCCCCTTGGCAGCAACCTCGACCCAGTGCACCTGCCTGAGCGAGTGACGCTGTTCCTTCACTCTGCAAATCGATGTTGGGAGTCGGAGAGTTGTACGTGGGAATTTATCGCTAATTGGCTGCTGAACACGACCACACCCTCAACACAGATTTATTAATGAGTCTCTCCCTCTGTTGTTGTAAACGAGGGCGTCATGATACAGATCCAAAGAGAGTTAATTGACTGAAGAAAGACGGCCATAAATCACGTTGTTTTACCCTTTTGTTGTTATTTACGCTCCTCTTGTCGCACAGCTCCGGTCATAGAAACAGAAAAAAAATCCTTACCTTGTTTCTGTAAGTTATAAATACTGAACGAACGCTTATGACTGAGAGATACTATTTTTAAACAGTCTCGTTCTAGTAATCTATTAAAAAAAAGAATGAATTTCGTTAAAGATTCTATTGGTTGTGATATTATTAAAAAGTTGGGAGTATTATTACATACGGGGAGTTATTATCAGTTCCCATGATATGATAAACCATTTACATGACGTTTCTCGCTGCTGAAAACCATTACTATATATATTATCAATTAGACGTGTTACAAGGAGTCTTATATCATTATTGTTCATGTGTTTCCGATGCAATTCCCAGTCGCTCGCGTGGAGACTCTGGGAGGTGAAAATTACGTTGTGGTGGACGAGTTGTAGATATATCGATGGTGGCGTCTTGGAAGTCCTTGCCAGGGGTGTAATTTACTTGACTAGTGGCTGTATAAATTATGCCAATGAGACCTAAATTGTTTTAATGTCTCAGGTGCGTCCAGCGGCATTGTAAATTCTCCTCTCTTGAACCTACCTCGGTTATATATGAAGCTAGACATATTTTTCACCAGTGACAATAAACTTATTCATCCCATGCACAGAGAAATGAATTACATACTCAAGTGAAGTTTGCTTTTGTCTCTATTCGTCTGTCTTGTCTGTCTGTCCGTCTGTCTGTTTGCCTGTCTACTTTTGGATTATATTCCTATTTGTGTCATTTTACGTAATCATCCTCCCTTTATTAACATTTACAACTCTGGTATCAATAGTACACTCACTCACCCTCGGAGTCATCACACAGGCAGTTAACACCACCGACCCAACAGTACCTCTGACCGCTATCTTCCGCTGTTATAAAAATCCAGGTTGAGTTTCCAGGCCGACTCACGGCTGGGTAGTTGAGATCCTCTTATGAACCGCCAGATCCTTCCATAAAGCATCGGATCCTCTCTTGGATGCTCCACAGAGCTCTGACAAATCCTTCTCGATCCTGCCATGGACCCTGGGATTCCCTCATGGGCCGCTGGAGCCGCCCGGGGCCCACTGCATTCTCCTTATGCTATTCCTTCTCCATCTCCTATTCCTTCTCATCCATTTCCTATTTCTCTTCCTTCTCCACCTTCTATTTCCCCTCCACCTCCCATTCCTCTTCCTTCTCCAACACCTCCTCTTCTTTCTCCACCACCTCTTCCTTTGCTTCTCCATTTTTTGGTATAATTATCGTCTCGAATATTTTGTGTCCACGTTCATGTTTTTCCTCAGGTGTTATCGTGTTTTCTTTCTGCTCCCACGTTTCATTAACTCGTTCTTAACGGTTTCCTTTCATTACCTCATTTACATATTTATATCCTTTCAATTCTATCTTGATACATGAAAGTATTCTTTCTTCACACATAAAAATCACTTCACAATTGCATTCTGGTTCGTTTATCTTCTTGTTTTTCTTCCTATCCGTTCTCTGTTATCCGGACACTCCATCTAGTTATCCGGATATTGAGGTTATAGCCAACAGCTGCACCCGTCGAAAACATCTCATGACTTCAGTTCCAGAGGACTGTCTTGACTGCTACTCCGCTACATTAATCCCATATCGTACCTGAAGATTTATCCCCGCCCAGGGAATTATGCCATCAGAAATACTTTACAAGACAAGTCTCTAGAGGGAGATTGATGCGTTATCGTTTTCTCTGGAAGAATACTCAAGTACCACTGCAGTGAGTCGCTGGTGGCGGAGCTCAGGTGGTTTAACTCCTCCCAACACGGCCATTATTTTTTCTTAAAGAGCCATAGTTAATTAGCATAAATTGTTGAGGGTTGTGCCACGCCCCAGACACACCTCACTGCTTCTGATGGTTAATATTTGTTTTTGTT